TAATTGCTTAAAACAATTTATAGATTAGCTTCATTAGCAAGTGAGTCTTTTAGGGTAAATTCCATTTGCGGTAATTATACTGCCACTTACTGACAATCAGATAACTATACTTCAATTTTATTTAATCGAATAACTACATGTTGATTTGTTTTTAATTGGGTAATTCTATTTTAATTTGATTTCAATTGAAGTAACTTCGCCCAATGCCATCATAGAAATTGATGATGCAATAGTCAAATTGATGATTCCACTGAACAAAATTAAGTTACAGTTATCTGGTTGATCCCAAGTGAAAATATATTTACCGCAAATGAAATTTATCTATATTTTTTAGACGTCAAAAATTTGAATGAATCAGAGCTTTTGGAAATGAAATAAGTTGAGCAGATCATGAAAGCTTGGCGTCTCTTTCATTTTGCATATGCCATATATCAATGGTTTCTAAATAAAGCAGGTAGATCGTGACTTTCTGTGAATGTTAAGAAGGGATACTCAATCGATTACTTACCAGAATTCGAATATCAAGTTGAAAAACGAAAATGAAAAGGAAAAGTTACCTGCGCTGGGAAGAAGAAATGAAGGAGTCAATTTTGGGGGCGGAAATGGTAGCGGAAAGCAGAAGAGCTCCTACTGTATATCCTGCTATTTCATTTGCCGTTATGTGTTCAAACATTTTTCTATCTTCTTCCAGCACTGCACCTCTCGCCTCTTATCCATTTCTCTCCCCCTCAGATTCTTCTATTATATATATCTTATCCATGGAGACGATAATTAAACAATATTAATGTAAAATTAAAGACATTAAATGTGTAGGCCTATTAGCTCAGCTGGTTAGAGCGTCGTGCTAATAACGCGAAGGTCGCAGGTTCGAGACCTGCATGGGCCATTAATATTTTTTATTTTTTTTCTCTCTCCTTAATCCTTACTGTTTAATTTGCTCGGACACGCCTGCATTCCCTCGTTATTTTCCCTATTATCTTTTCTTTTAGGCCAAATCTTTTGGAAATGAAAATATATATATATATTTTTTTTGTTCTACTTTTTTGGTGTAAAACATCATTTTCAAGATTAATAAAGAATGAAATGTTTCTCCTATTAAAATAAATCATCTATTAAATTTATGTTTTATTTAGATTTTTATGATAAAATGATGTTGAATAGGTTTTTTTTTTTTTTTTTTTTTTAAATTTTATGATACCTTTAATATAAAAGGAAAAAAAATCTATAGACCTACATAGGTTATTGAGTTCCCATTCGAGTCACATTCTTTAAAATTCATTTTTTTCCAAAATTATTTTAACTATACGTTCTCTCAATAAAATAGCTTTTATCGACAGTATGTATATTTGTCCTCTCTTCTTAAATTCTTCATAAATAGGAAAAAAAAGGATTATGAATGAATTCTTGAAAAACTTTTAAACTGCAAAATGGTATAAAGCTATATCCTATCTTAAAATAAATTAGAAGCAAAATAATATATTACTTGATAAAATTCTAATGAAAAGAAGTTCTCAACTGCTGCATTTCATAAAGTAGCATGTTGAGCATTCAAACCAGAAATATGAGCCAGTATGAAGACTCCAGTAGTCCAATAACTCATGTAGATGAGAATGAATGGAGAAGAAACATTGTATATTTATATTTCAAGTATGAACCATTAGATGTACATGATCCGAGTGTTAGCAATATCACACAACTTGACAACATGAATAATAAGGATCTAACGAGTGATGAGGAGACCAAATGTTGTGAA